ATAATGCACAATCTACTGTGTTAATATGAAGGAATTTTCTGGATTGATTTTTCCACGGGTTTTTGTACCTGCATTTTTAATTACGCATTGTATTTTGTGTTTTCGGGTTACAACGGATAACGGATAATGTCCTGAAAAATTACTAGCATCTTTTCCATTTTTCTGCATATTTTTCTTACAATGTACTGTAAGAAACAGTGTAACTCATCAACAATCGCAGGTACAAGCTACTAACAAAGTGTCTCATAAATGAAAAATAACAGTATTCAATTATTACTATTAAACAATTGTAAATAGCAGCTAACTTAATTCCTGTAATGTGTGTACTGCTAGGCATCTTTGGTTTCCTCTTTTTGTGTAATTTAAATGGTAAATTGTGCCTTTTTATCGTTTGAGTCACTTATCAGAAGTTGCTAAAAGCTGCCAAATACATTTTTAAAAATAGCTAATTTTGTTGCTAGGTGCTTTTGGAAGAAAAAGTTGCTAGGGTAGTCTGAAAAGTTGCCAAATTTAGCAACAAAATTGCTAAGTTGGCAACACTGGCTGCAGTTTTAAAGGAACACACTCCAGACCATTTCAAAGTTGTCCCTCGTCTGCGCTTCGATTAGTTTTCTCCTATTTTCCACACATGTTCCCGTCTTAAGCACCGCAGTCACGGCTTTCGTCGCACACAGAGCCGTTCACATTTGAACTCACGTGACTTGCTTCGTGCTCTCATTCACGTCCTCCACATTCATAACCCAGCAACATCGGGTTACTTATTACTGATATCAACCCAAATTGGGTCAAATCAAGCCAGTTTACTAACCCAACAGTCTCAACCGAGCGTTTGGATTGAAACAATTACCAGCGTGTTTTATATGTGTAGGCTATAAAAAAGTACACAGTGTATGTTTTTGCTTTATCGCTTGCAAATATAAGATTGTTATACATACCCCGTAATATTAGAATAGGTACCCCTTAGTTTCAAAATACTTACAGTAGTAATTATTTGTAATTTTACAGATTATTACTCCTTTATTCTCCAACCTTCACATATTGTTATCTTATACCTACACGGAGGTACTGAATAGGTACACTGTAATTACAAAAAAGTTACGCTGTAAATTCTGTTTACTTACGCAGTACATTGCAGGTTGTAATCTAAAGCGTTACCCAATTGGTAATGATGTTCTCGGGATAATCCAAGCAATCTATCAAGACCAGTCACTTGAAAAGAGGCAAAATTGTTTATAAGCTTTTTTATTATTATTTCATTATTAATGGTTAATGACTTCATATTAATGGTTTATCACTTTTGACCAATAGGTGGTGCTGTTACCAAATTGATGGGGTGTGGTCAGTGAGGTGACAATGACACACATAAATTTTGGTGTCAATATGTCAAAACTTTGCAGGGATACATCCTCAGATGCAGTTTGACATCAATCCAGCATATTTGTTTGTGCATTACATGATAACTGTTTCGTATATTGACACAAATTCCATATGGTTTTTGTCAGCATGGTCTGAAGATGATCTGAGTCAAATTTGGTGAAAATCAGAGAAACAGTCTAGGAGGAGTTCGAAAAAGTACGTTTTCAGTATAGGTCAAAATGGTGGACAGGAAGTTTCTTCTGTGGAGGATCCCTGATCAACCAGAACTGGGTTCTCACTGCTGCCCACTGCGCTGTCGTGTAAGAGTCTTCAATCTGACAAACATCACATACAATCATGGTTAGTGGATGCTCTTTCAGCTTTCTGTCTGTCTTTAACCATTCATTTTATCTTTATATCTCTTTCCTGTCATTCTTGGAGAACATGATCGTGGCTCCAGTGTTGAACCCATCCAGGTCAAACTAGTTTCCAAGGTAACAATGTTTACTGATCTCAGTGGATCAGAGATGAAATCAAAATGAGAGATCAACTGATGCTTTTTATGACTCATACTATACTGATTATTTATGTTATTTTTAACTCTCAAGTAACTAATAAAAACAATTGCAATTGTTTTAATTGCACTGAAAAAAAAATAAGTTTAAGTGTGCAGTTAAAAAGCTGTCAAACTTATTATCATTCTCAAAATTGAAGCACTGAGGTCATCTATACCCTAGTGTACTCTTAGTACGCATTTAAATTTCCCAGTACATATAAGAAGAAGGGTGATTCTGGTGGTCCTCTGGTGTGTGAGCGTTCAGGGGTCTGGTCTCTGGTGGGCTCTGTGTCCTGGAGAACCAACACTTGTGACACCCGCTGGATCGACAGTACTATTGCTTGAAACTATAGCACCAGTCTAAGTATTTATCCTCCAGAGGAGACAGAAGCAGATCATTAATATTTACTGCAGCTGATCCCTGTTTGTGTGTTTTCATTGAGTTTGGGTCTTTGGACAGTCTGTGGTTCCTGTCATCTGGCTGTTACTTCATGTTACTGTTTTGATTTTAGTTCATGTAAGAATGAATACAATAAAAACTAACATTTTAAAGTAACAAGTAACAACCATATTTTGATTAATTATTATAGTACACCTGAACTATAAATATAAATTTAATTCAATTCAGTTCAAGTTTATTTGTATAGCGCTTTTCACGATGCAAATCATTGCAAAGCAGCTTTACAGAAAATTGAAGTTTCTACATTATATTTTGTATTAGCTTATCAGTGGTGTCCATATGGCATGTACGGTAAAAAATCAAGCAGTTAGTTAATGTCATGTAATCAAACAGACGGTGAACACTATTAACAGCAATGATTATATGTTGCGATCAAACTTATAGCAAAATTTGGTAGTTTTGTATGTTATGTGAGGGTTGGCATCATCTGAGGTCTTCTGAGGGGTTGGCATAATCTCTTCTCAGGTGTAAAAACAATAATTATAATGAAGTGTGTAATCAAAATTAAAATCAAGACACTGAAATGTAATACTAGCCTACTTCTTTGAAAGTTTACTGAACTATGGCCAGTTGCATAAACACAGCCACTATGTTAAGACTGTGTCTTAAGAACTAGTTTGACTAACTAGCAGCTAACCAGGTAATCAGTCTTGTGTGTGTGTGTGTGTGTGTGTGTGTGTGTGAGAGAGAGAGAGAGAGAGAGGCTGAGAGTGAAGGAAATTAGTCCACCTTTGATTTTTAACCTATTTACTTTAATAAAAAAGGTGAGATACCTAACTATTGAAATGGATTCTTTACCAATCCGTAAAATTACAATTTTGTAATGTTATGGCAAACTTTTACATCAGTGCTGTGGTAAGGGACAGCATGTTGGGACGGTTGCAACAATGTGTTGCAATGTCCCAACACTGACAGCTGTGATAAAACTTGGTATAAGCTTGACACAATATCTTTGACACACGCTAGCTATGCCTATTAGAAGATAAGAAAACACAGATTAAAATGATAGGCTATGTTTTTACAATTCTTCACGCAAACATCTTAGACAGTATGACAAAAAAAATCGGATCATTAAAACAAAATACTTTTTTGCCATGAAATTATATTTTTGTAGAAGGAATGGTCAGATGTGGCTGATTTCTTCCAGGAAGGATGAGGGGCTAACTAAGCATGTGTGCAGTATGAATATCATCACTGTAGCTCTTTCCTGATTGAAGAAATAAGCCATGTTGCAACTGCCCCTCATTGCAACCGTCCCCACTCTCTCCGACTTATGCGTGCATAATACAAAAAGGAGAATGATACGTAATTGGTTCTAATCGACCTAGTTTGCCAAACCCTGCATAATAACACACAAAACCAGAACTGCAAATAAATAAAACACGCATAAAAAAATTTAATAAATAAATAAATATATTTAATGATATTTAATTATTTGTAGATTACACTTTCATGCAATCTGCATTTGGTTAAAGGGCATTTTAAACATGTTTGGGTTGAGTTTTCGTTGCATTTACAATATATTAACCAATAGGTGCCGCCAGAATGTGGCATTTCAGGCACCTCGAAACGGTGAATCAATTTGCGAAGCATTTGATTAAAGGGGTCATATGATGCAATTTCAATTTTTCCTTTCTCTTTGGAGTGTTACAAGCTCTTGGTGCATAAAGAAGATCTGTAAAGTTGCAAAGACTAAAGTCGCAAATCCAAAGATATATTCTTTATAAAAGTTAAGAGTCAACCACACCCTCCTAAAATGGCTCGTTCTAACACGCCCCCACATGTCTACATCACGATGTGGGAAGATTTGCATAACGCCGCCCAAATGTTCACGCAAAGAAAGGCGTAACTTTTATTAGTTATGGACAATTTATTAAGTGATAAAAAGCAGTTTTTATCTGTTTTTTTTAAATGGACATGTTATGGACAACGAACACAGGTGCATTTTATTGATGGCATTTTGAATGCACAGAGACACAGTGACGAGATCCTGAGGCCTATTGTTGTGCCATTCATCCACGACCATCGCCTCATGTTGCAGCATGATAATGCACGGCCCTATGTTGCAAGGATCTTTCGTTTCCCTCTAATTTGCTCGGAAGTGTGACCTGAATGAAACAATGGAAGTGGGGTTTTTCACAGGTTTCTTTAGTGGCAATGTGAAGTAGGCTACTTAATATTGTATTGTCTTGTCTGAGGAAGTTGTCTGAGGGAAAAAAAAAACTTTCTGAATTGTGAAAAACGCAACCCATTACTTTAAATTGTAGACATACCATGTAAACATGATTCAAATAAAATAAAGCTAGCTAAAAAAAAATTGAAATCTTATTAAACTGAACACCAAGCTTTGGTCAAAAATAAAGCCCTATCTTCGACACACAAATATAACATGTGTACTTTATTTTTGATTACAAACAAACAAAGAAACAAAAATTAATAAACAAAACCAACCACCTAATAAATAAAATGTGTCAGTATTGGGTCAGTAGTATGTAACAAGCATTACTTTTATTTGAATCATTAAAGAAAATCAGTTTACTTTATAATGCTTTCTATAAAATAATGTAAAAAAAGTGATGTCACAGAAAAGCACACCATTGCATGACTCTCTCTCTCTCTCTCTCTCTCTCTCTCTCTCTCATGGCTGCAATGTATTTAAAGAACTTGTTTGACCAGTTTATTGTCATTAATTTTGTTAACTAATGTGGTGTTAAAGAAACTGATAGTACTAAATTTTACTTTAGCCCAGATCTCAACTGATATAATCATAGTGTGACATAATCCCACAACTTTAGTCCCTTCCTCTTCAGTATCACTGTCTTGAATGGCTTGCCAAGGTTGAATACAGGATTAGTTAACGTCACAGACTTATTGGTAAAGCAGCTCTTTTACTGCAAGTATAGCGGAAACACTTAAGGAAGCATTTTGCATGATTAATTGGCTTAAATTTCAACACAGTAACAACAAAAACAACTTCTAATCCAAAACACTTCATAACATGCATTGAGAGAAGTGAATTATGATGCTTCTCAAGGAAATAGAAAGAAGTCTTAAACCCCTTCACGAGGTCAAACAATGGAGAATTCATTCTCTTTGCACGTAAGAGACCAGCTCTGGACAGTGGAGATGCAGATTGTCTCCAGTGATAACAGATCTAAACATTCCTCACCTATGAGATCATTGGAGCTGATGGGATGGACCTTCATCATGTCTCAGATTTTTCAGCTGCTGCAAATGATATAAAAGCAAGAGAGATGACCTACAGATACATCAGTGAGTCTGTCTGTCTTTTTACAGTTCGTTTTGTCTTTATCTTTCTCTTTTCAGGGTCGGCTATCACCGTGTCATTCTTGGAGAACATAATCATGGCTCCAGTGTTGAACCCATCCAGGTCAAATTAGTTTCCAAGGTAACAATGTTTTATGATCTCAGTGGATCAGAGACATTGAAATTGAAAATTGAAAAAAGAGACCAATCGACATTGCTTTTAGCCAATGTCAATTACATACAGAATACAGATATACATTTTTATTGATGTATTATTACTCTGTTTTTTAAACACATTAATAAGCAAGTCATCATTACAACTACAAAAAACATATTCATTATAAATATTTTTGTAGTAGTAATATCTGTAATTTATGCAAGGGTGTGATCTAAAAGTTTGCAAATGTATTTTAATCTCTGTTTTGGACTTTGTTTAATTGAACTCACATATTTCTAATTGTGATTGAATGGCCATCGTTTAAAAGGTTAAACTGGTGTGTTTTTTTTGATCGGTGAACACAATATTGCAGAATTGACAAAGTTCAATGAAGTTGAAAAGTGTGCAAATTGGTCAAACAAAATCAGTCAACGTATCTCTTTATAATCAAAGTTTTGAGGTATATAATGTAGGCTATTGTATTCCTAAAACCCACCAAAATAAACGTACACATTTTTTACAAATATAAAATTCAGTACAGGAAAGAAAACATCCAAACCACATTGTAAAAACACAGGGTATAAGAAAATGCTTTGTTTTGTTTAATCTTTGTTTACCTTCTATTTAGTCAGCTTTCACTACTAACTGTTCATTCCTCTTTCCTGTATGTGCAGGTTATCACCCATCCGCTCTACAGCAGGGCGACCTTCAACAATGACATTGCTCTGCTGAAACTGTCGTCTCCAGTCACACTGACTCCCCGTATCTCTCCTGTATGTCTGGCTCCATCAACCATCAACATTCTGCCTGGAACCCGCTGCTTCACCACTGGCTGGGGTAGAACTGCCACCACGTGTAAGTCATCTGTAAAACAAAAACATACTGAGAGAATTACAACACATCTGTTTACTGTGCAATGCAATGTGTCATGTTTTCTTCTTTTTTTAGCAAGCCCTCTGATCCTACAGCAAACAGGTGTACCCATCATAAGTCCTGCTGTGTGCAGGCAAATCTGGGGTCAGAGCACTATCACTGATGCCATGATCTGTGCTGGAGCCTCTGGTTCCTCATCTTGCCAGGTATATGACAACAGATCAAGAAGAAACACATTACCATCTCAATGTTGCTGCTGTTCAATCTCAAATGTGTGTTTTCCATAGGGTGATTCTGGTGGTCCTCTGGTGTGTGAGCGTTCAGGGGTCTGGTCTCTGGTGGGCTCTGTGTCCTGGGGAAGAAACAGTTGTGACACCCGTTTCCCTGCAGTCTACGCCCGCATCTCCCACCTGCGCTCCTGGATCGACAGGACTATCGCTTCCAACTAGCACCAGTCTGAAAATGTATTGGCTGTCTTTGATTCCCTGTTGGTGTTCTTTTTTTTTATGGGTTTGGAGTTTGGGTCAGTCGATGACTTCATGCTGAAGTCTGTGACTTCACACTGTTTTCCTGTTTCAGCTGTACAGATAATGAAGATGTTTCAATAAATGAGATGAGTTAAATATGAGTGTAATTAATGACAATAATTTGAAATGTATAAGGATATGTTGCCATAATCCACATAAAATAATGCAGAAAAATGACAAAATAATGTATCAGAAAGTTCCAAGATAAGGATGAAGATTTAAATCAATACTCTATCCATGGTGCTGAAACCTGTGGCATGTACGTGCAGTTTTGTACTTACTTGTACATAACCTTTACAAACTGATACTGCTTATTAAGCAATTTCATGACATATGAAAGTCACATCATGTTGAAAACATTCCCTTAGAATCTAGTAAAGATGGTTGCTCAATCTGCCTAGTCAGTACATTTCTGCTAAAGCCACGGTACAAAATGTTTTCTCATACAGTGCTCAATAAATCTGATTGCTTCAGATTCACACTTTTATGAGCTTTACTATTATGTTTAATTTGACTGAATGAGTTATAAAGCCTCTTTCTGATTACTGTCTATTAGCCTACTTACTGAGTAGTAAGAGTAAGTGACTTGGTAACTGGGTAAAACTGACATTTTTCAGATGTACAAGCTTGTAAGAGATTTTAGGAACAGTATTTTTGGAATTGGAATTTTAATGAAAAGTAACCCTACAAGTAAACCCATGAAATTATTAAACAGAAACACAAAATAATATAAAATTAAATTAAATTAAACAAGTAAGCTATTTATTATGAAAGCAAAAAAACATGCAATTACTAAAACAAACTTGATAAATGTCAATTTAAAAACAAAGACTAATTCAAAATATTGAAAAGAACTATATTAGTATACAAATAACATTAAATTAACACTGCTGCACCTAAACGTGCACTAAAAATAAGACACATTTTTTTAAACAAACAAATGAACAAAAAACTTTGTTGTATTTTCCAGCACAAATATATATTTTGTAATATCAAGAAAGAGGCAACAAACTAATAATATGTGCCATTGTCTGTAATACACACTGATACTGATAATGGAAAAATTCCTTCTGCCCCAAAACAATAGCGTTAACTAGAAGGAAATGTCAACCATAAAACGCAATCAGCCTGAGAACAATGACCTGTTGCCTGTTCTTGGAATTCAGGATTATGATTAGCATACATTGCAACCATCAGGCAGATCCAGTTCTAGGCCAGTTGTGTAAACCTTTGTCCATTTTTGGTGATGCATGTTTTGGTGATTCATGACCTGGCTGTGAGATCTGGAGAAAAAAATAAATAAATTCCATGACTAAAATATAAAAGTCTACAAGAATAATGTCATGAGTGTACCGTAGACTGTATAAAGGTGCACAATGAAGTGAACTGAAATAAATCTTATTCACACTCTGCTCCTGAACAACCACTAGAGGTCGGTAATAATCTATTTAGAAACTAAACCTTGAATCTGGCAGGTGTGAGGCCAGAATTTTCTTCAAACTGATCTGTGTTCATTATGGTGCCCGGGAGCTGACATATTCGGTTCACTTAGTTTTGTCGTGGCCATGACATAATAACTTGTGGGAACGTGATAATATGTCGTGGCCACGAGGTATTAATTTGAGGGAACGTCATATTAACTCGTGGGAATGTGATATTATGTCGTGGCC